CACTTATTGTATTTACAAAATGAGGTGGTCATTCTAGGTACTTCATCTTTAAGCCTCGGTGTCACCATTGGACGCGCGCCTACAATTCAGAGTGGATGCAGCTAGCGAAATAATTACTCAGAGATTACGCAGATCAATCCAAAAATCTTTCAACGCCGGTGAACTATGTTTAGTGTTTTCTTCGCGTTCAATGGTGACAGTGAGACTTAGTGTATTTATTATTATAATTACTTTCTCCTAATCACTGTACCAGTTATTCTCCATTTTGTATAGCCAGCCATCTAATCGTTGTTTAAAAATGCAACAGTTTCCATATTTGTTAGCTGTTGTTTCCACTGTTGCTTGTTGAAAACTTGTTATTAAGATTAGACACAACCATCAGTTGTCATTTGCACTATCGTATGTCTTATATATTCTTTAAATTATTATTATTACTGAAATCTTCTTTTCTCTCAAACTTACAGACGCGCTAAACGGTATAGATACCTCACAAGTTGAGGTTTGTAGCTAATCTTTAATTTTAGTGCTTACCACTTAATCAGACTACTTAGATCCATATAATAAGAAATACTGAACCAATCAATTATCATTATATATGAAACTTTTATAATCTTTGCAGTAGTTTGAATTATTGAAAATCTCAATAAAATTTAATAAAAATGAATATATTACTAATAATAGTATAACTGGTGTAAAATACATGAATCTTGCAGGAAATGTAAATAAATAAATAAAATTCTTTCGGCAAAGCAAGAGCAGCATATTTACAACTGAAGAACATCTGGAACTCAAAACAATTGTCAACCAACACCAAGATCAGAATTTTCAATACAAATGTCAAGACAGTTCTACTGTATGAGGAGGAGACGTGGAGAACTACAAAAGCCATCATCCAGAAGATACAGTTGTTTATTAACAGTTGTCTGCGCAAAATACTTCGGATCTGTTAGCCAGACACTATCAGCACCAAGCTACTATGAGAGACAACAAACCAGATTCCAGTGGAGGAAGAAATCAGGAAGAAGCACTGGAAGTGGATTGGGCACACCTTGAGGAAGTCATCCAACTGCGTCACAAGGCAATCCATCACATGGAATGCTGAAGGCTAAAGGAGAAGAGGAAGATCAAAGAACATATTACGCCGAGAAATGTTGACAGACATGAGAAGCATGAACAAAAGTTGGATAGAAGTAGAAAGGAGGGCGCAGTCAGGACAGAGTGAGTCGAAGAATGTTGGCCGGCGGCCTATGCTCCATTGGGAGTAACAGGTATAAGTATGTAAAAGTGTAAATCAAATTCTTGTTATGACCTTTTTTCAAAATTATCGATTATATAGGTTGGTCAAATACAAGATTTTATCATTTTAAATTTTAACGTCACTATAAATAATTTCTGTGTTTGACATTATCTATGAACATAACAATAAAACAATATTAGTAGTGTAAACTTGTAAACACAAGAAAATGCTAATGATTACATTTATAATACAATATATAATTCATTATACAATAATTGCTTTATTCATTATCCTAGAATTGTTATCATTATTATTATATACTACTGATAGTAGTAAACCAAAAATATGTAATTTTGATATCCCTATTACACAAGCTAATAAATCATATCATATTAAACGTATAAAGAAAGCTATATTAATGAAACATTCTATGAGAATGATCTAATGCTTAAAACTGAACTACCAGACAAGATTCAAGATGGTGATGATAATGTTAATAATGATGATTCATTGAATAATCTTTGTATTAATACTTGAAATAAGAGATTATTCATTTCAAGCCCCAATGAACACACTGAATTCGTAACCTTAGTGGAATCTACTTGCATATGCATGTTGGAATAAATAAGAAAACCCTCCATGTACACTTTATCTTTCGATTAGTTCTGTTACAACTGTAGGATACTTGCTATTACGCCATGGTTTCTTGCTATAACAGTCCTTCCACTTCTTACATATATGAGGAACGTTAATTTGCCTTAGACGAATATCTGCACTAGATTCCCTCCCAGTATCTATTCTGCAGGACTTGAACACAACTCAAATCAAGAACATGAGATTGGCTTGACTAGAACATCAATATATTTCCACACCCAAATCCGACACAATCCAACAACAAGAACAGTTAATCAATAATAATCAAGATAGGAGAATATATATAGTATATACAACACTTGTCACACTATATACATGTCTGACTCAGCAAAACAACCAATCATTGTCAATTTCGCCCACACACCAAGTTCTTTGTTCGTTCCTCAAATGTTTAGTTTCTTCTGTTGTTCATTGTATCCAAGGCCTATTTCTTTCATGTATACCTTATTTTGATTATTATTGATAGTTGAATTCATGAGTCAATTGAAGCTAGACCACTATGAAAAACCTAAAAGCACTGGACGTTCGTTTCGTCTTATTGTGGAATTCTTAAGCAGTGCGCATCCACGACCACTGAGCCGGCACACAACCGCGTTAATGTCTAACTTCAACCAATCCACGACATTGCGCAACTGTACATCATTGCTTTCACAAAATCCCCTTTCTGACATTATCGATAGGTTGTTTATATTATCTAAAAGATGTTCAACTCTCGGTAATGTCAGTATTTGAACGCTGATTCTGTCCGACTTCAATTGCTAAATTCCGACGGCTACTATTGTGAAGGATTCTCTTTTCGATGGATTCTGTTGATTTAACTGATAAGACCTACCCCTGATGGCATGAGTTACAAGAGGAACTGAAAGTATTCAACCAACTATTAAATTCTGTAGTGGATATAACTTTTTCTTCGTGTTTTAGATATCTTTTTTGGACGATATTTGAACCTGTATATTTATAACTTCTACCTTCTACATTTTCGTTTTGACACTACGTTGGTCTTGTATTTTAAAAATTTAGCGCTGGAAACCCCAGACTAGAAGGTTTGTTTTGTAATTGTTATAGTGATTATTTAAAAAATTTATTCGGGTTGACTAGTCGTAATTTCCAAACAACTTTTAGCATCTGCATCAAAACTGAAAATTTCTAGCTATTTGGGTGATAAATCATGAGTGTATTAAACAGCAATTCCTCGATAACAAACTGGGGCAAAATTTAGATTTCAAAGACAGAGTTACAAGAAAATTCTTGAGAACAAAGTCTGCTTGTTATGTCTGACGTGGTGCTCTATCATTACAGAGCAAGTAGATATGCTCCGGACTCCGAGTTACCTTTACTAGTTCTTCTGTTGATCATCTACGACAAGAAAACCACACACTTTGGTTACATTGTCAACACTACGTAAGAGTGACCACACAGTTTCAGTCTTTGACTTCCATATCGTTGTCAGCAACGGGGCAAGTATAAAACATATAAAGCCTTTGAAAAACAAGAATTTAAAAGAATTGTCCGTTCAGATTCGTAAGTGGCCAGGACGACGAACCACAATCATTTTTAGAAAGAGCATGTAAAGATTGTAGAAATATACTAATAAACGTGCGGCACAACGTGTACCCTTGACGATACCGAGGACCATGTTTCAGTAAGGAGTTTCGTACGCTGCTCTATAATGGAAAACAAGTATATGGGAGATTTAAGTTACCAAGTGCTAGTGAAAGAAAATTAAATATCAAACTGTCACAGATGCCTGTTCCTTGGCCCTATGCAAGTATAGTGGGGAGAGGGTTGAGAAGCTTGTTCAGGCTTCTGTACGATGCGAAAAACCCATATATTCGTAAATACACTGAATTATGAAGAGCGCGGTACAGCCACATCGTACAAAATTATCCCCAGTGGAAGACGACCGCAATGAAGTTGTTTAAGCAATGTGTACAAAATGGATACTTCTCTCAAGTGAAAGATAGGTCCTTCCGTTCATATTCCAGATAGTGTAATATAGGAATAAAGAGTAAAGCGCTCAAGTAAATAAGTGATTTCCCAGATAGAGAAACTGTGCTCACTTGTGTATTTTAGGGTACAAATTGACTATCTAGTCTCCTGTAGTTACCAGTGCTGGCAATATCAAGATACAAAATGCGATAGAAAATAAAGGTTGAGTTTCGAAGCTTCGTAATAAAGTGCGGGAATCATCTGAATGATCCAGAATCAAAAGTCGTCGATAAATGGCTAATAGTGCGTTATGGTGCATAATGGTCACCAAGGTACAGATACATACAAGATGAACAACGTTAATCTACACTTTGGCCTGGCACACACTTATCTGTGCGTTATTCCCAGTCAGTTCTTGAAAACATCTGAACTCTGAGCAGTATAACCTATCAAAATTCCTCGAAATTTCGTGTCAATAAGTAAAATCTTTTGCAACGTCTGTGCAAACACTTTGTATACATAGTCCGTTCGACTAACACTTGAGTATCTCATACAAATGCTCAACTCCTGACGGAAACAAGACAGTGGATTGTTAAACTGGCTAAAAATAACACGGCTAGGCTGAGACCAAGAATATCAAAAGCGTTGAATGACGAGAAATTGACTGGATGAAACTTATTTCCCTTGTCATATGGTAGAACCAGAGGTGAGTTGATCACAGTCCTTAATTTAGCATTTGGCAGATCCCAAATTTTGTTGCCTTCCAGAATGAAGAATTCACGAGGACATTCCCAAAAATTCAGAAACTCTGAAACAACATGAATTGACCTTGGGGAGTAAGCAAATTTTACGGACGACTGCAAACAAGATAGCCAACGTAATCTTTATAGTAATGGAACGATTTGTGGTATGAAATAACGCAACTGCAGTTGCTGGACAGTTTTAACATGAATAGCGAACCAATACGTGTGAATTATTAACGTCTTCATTACAAACAAATATCAGCAGTATTACTAGAATGCTTGGTAGCTGTAAGAGTGGATGAACTTCAAACTAGAATCTTATTACTTCTTCCGTATACTTTATGTCTAGTGACAATGTCCATAATGTAATTAACATTAACCTCGTATTTGTTATTGTATATGTCAATTCCTTAGAATTATTTATTTGCTTCACTGGTCGGCTACAGATTTCAAGGTTGTTAGGCGGCTTATCCAAGTCTCGCGGATGATCGCCAAATTCTTAAGTTTCTGCATAAGACACACACTGTTACTTTTCAAATCACAGGCTCAGGTAACTATGTAAGTAAGGGTCATAAATATTCAGAATCCGAACCCTGAATCGCCAACAAATTGATTACTCTTCAGCCTTGAAGCGCTATCTATTAATACAGTAAGATGATCCTGGGAATGTACTAACTGGCAATATAATACATCAAAAGAGCATCAAAGAGAATAACATCAATTTAGTTCGTGTTTTATTGTTACATACACCGAAAAAATTGTGTAACGCAGTTGCTGCTACCTTAACATGGGGGTTAGGCTTGTCTATTGTGATGAGCGAAGTGGGATATACTATCTGGAACAATCATCCATCAAGGTCCCATTATGCCAGGCAGGTCGACTGAAGAGCGGTAAGACTAAAAGCGGCAAACCCAAGATCCGAGGGCGAAGTCGTACTGTTCACCGTACAGAGGTGTGATGGCAGTATTTATTAAAACACCACCAATCTGCCCTCTTGAGATATGTAGGCCTTAGTCAGTTTTCGTGAACGTAATTTATTGAAGCGACTTCGATAAGTTTAGGTACTGTGTGACTTTTATTTATGTCCTAATTCTTAATGTACAGTATACCTGTATGGGATATTTCTATTCACAAAGCAGAGAAGTAATAATAAGGTTATATTCTTATGGTAGTTGTTTTCTCATCATGCTGACGCCTGTATATGCTTTCAGATGGAAATGTGTGTTCCCTTACCCATCATAAATTAGAATTTCACCAGGTCCACTGACCTATCGAGTGCACTCTATCATTCATAGCTATAAGTATACGTCTCAAGTATATTAGTAATAAAGACACTGGAATATTAAAGTAGCATGGCACCACTAGTCATAGAAAGTTGCATTACAATTATTAATGACATAAAAGCCTATGAAACTAGCTTTGTGATGAACATGGATGAGATGCACTACTCAGATCCCAAACAGAAATGAGATCAACAGGGTTTAACCTTTTAACCCTAAAGAATGACATATCATAATTTGAACTGCTTTTAACATCACCAAATAACTAGACTAGTCTGTGTATATCAGACGAACACTTCGCAGTGTTGTCTTCATTTATAACTGTTTTCTTTTTCAGCTGCGAAAACTAATCTATTCATAACAGGAAATCCTGATTGGATAACTAATTGAAATGCCATTCAATTATTTTTCATTTCGAATTCGGTGTGCACACTGGTTATTAGCTCGAATCAGTCTCTTCCAGTCAGTTTGTCTGTTATTATGGTTAGGTGAGCGGGCTTATCATGAAACAGAGCCACCTATACATCCATGGATAGTTTATACGTATGTGAGTTAACCAAATGTCTTTATGATGTAAAAAGGAAATAGTTTCAATTTGAATCCGAATTAAAATCCCATGTTCAACGGAAATGTTTTACTACTTATTGGACTGTGGGGCGTATTATCACTGCTAGTGTTCTTTTAGTAAAATTTAGAAAGAATAGCATGTCAATTGTGATTGGGTACATTTTCTTAGTAAGATGGTGGTTGGAGGTGGTCAACAGGAAACCCTGGACCCGGGTTTCGTGCTACTTGGCACTCGTCAGCAAGGTGTACCTGTAATCTTGAGGGAACTGATGCTCTCTGGCGGATTCGATCCCGTGTCACTCAGCTTCACAGTCAGAGATGTTACCACTGAGCTATTCGGGCCGCGACTGGATGGATTCAGTATATTTTATGGTTTCTCGTCAGCGGCTTACAACCGTATTTCCTTTAAAATGTAACATTGAGGTATGATATAATCTGAAACAATTGACATTGATGACCGAAAAAATTGGAATAACAAGGATTATATATATATATATATATATATATATATATATATATATATATGCATGAACATGTGTGAGATCATTTAACCATAAAATATACTGAATCCATCCAGTCGCGGCCCGAATAGCTCAGTGGTAACATCTCTGACTGTGAAGCTGAGTGACACGGGATCGGATCCGCCAGAGAGCATCAGTTCCCTCAAGATTACAGGTACACCTTGCTGACGAGTGCCAAGTAGCACGAAACCCGGGTCCAGGGTTTCCTGTTGACCACCTCCAACAACCATCTCACCTCAATATGTATAGTGCAAGCAGTGTCGAGCCACCTAGACTGGTGGCCACATTGCAACTTGATCGATAGCATTCGATCAGCACTAAGAAGGACTTGACACGCATAACATTGATCACCACCCAGTGATCAATCAATTGTGACATTTTCTTAGTCTTCGAATTCGGTCGATGAAAGCTTAAAAATTTGACAGATAAGAATAAGTTGATGATTAAAGTTTAAAAAATGTCATTAAAATGGTAGAATAACACTTAATGATTTGGTGTTTTATCTTTTCCTACTCTTATCACCACCAACTGGGCATTGACATAATTCTTGCTGTTTGAACCGTGATATTACAAAACCTTTAACAGATAGGAAGTCCCTATTGAATGATCTAGGACTATCTTCAAATGAAATTATCAAGGCTTGGTCATACTACCAACTAGGTTTTTAATAAATGTATGAGACTGCTGATTTGCAGGTTTTCAATGGGAAGAAATGACTTAATAGTTAAAGCAAATTAGCTCTTAATCAGTAAGTCGTAGATTCAAACTTCGCCACATCTACATTTTCTGTATCCAGGTAGTATCATTAGCCACCACACAAACAATATAGTTTAGAGCGTAGAAAATAAACGTACACTTGGTAGATGACTCACATTGTAAAGTTAGTGTGTGATAAGCAATAACTTCTGTCACCAGTAAAAAACTAATCAACATCAGTGATTTTTTAGAAATTAGTTATTAATTATCTAGAGTTAGTTCATTTTGCAAAACGTCATAATCTTAGATAAGAGAATTAGTCCAGTTATGTTGACTAAGAGTATATGCCAAATGAGTTGGTAAAGATAATTTTTATTTTGTTTAAAACGGGTGACCTGTAGGCTGTTTATTAAGTTATCTACTTCAATTTAGACGACTGAGCTGTATCAATAGCCCTCACTGAAAATATCTATCATATCCGATTGCACAAAGTTATACTTGATTACGGAATTACATCAGCTGAAAATTACATCGCGTAGACTCAAAAAGTAATGGGTCTATTTCGGTTAATAGGTTTTAAAGATATTTTAATCTATAGATAGTCTCCTTTATGGAGTGAAATCCCTTCGGGTACCACGTTCCGGTGTAGTTCGAATATATACAGCCATGATTTCTCACTACTGAAGAGCCCCACGCTAAGATAAAACGGAGATTCAGTACTCTTTAATCTTCATTGTTACGCTAACTGATGTCAATCCTAGACAAATATCACTGAGGAACTGATTTGTCACCGACTTTGAAAGTAATGATCTTAAAATTCTCAAAACCTTGTAATTTGTAACTTTCACTGATTACTCAATTGTTACAAGATTTATAATATGAATCGTCTTCATTACAATACAAATGACTCTAAAGTGACAATCAGTAATTATATGATTTGGTTTCATTTCATATCATTTAAGATAATTACCGAGTATTTCATTAATTAAAGTGATGCCTCTCCATGTATTTCTCTTCCTGTATTTCATAGATTGGCTTTGGTTTGATCGCATCAACTGGAATAACGAGTCGCTTCTTGACACGTCTATCACTAACCATAATCCTCTTGAGTCAGTTGTACATGACTTATGTGTTTTGTTTGGAAAAACGTTTAGGGTATTCAAAATGTATCCGTGCACGTATTAGTTTAAGGTGCTTGACTACAATTGGTGTGTATTTTCGACTGCTTGGAGTAAATGGCTATAATGATAAACAAAAACAGACAGATCCACACAATAACGATAATCAGGTTGATCAATCACGCAAAATGAAGCCATCTACAAGTGTTTATGCTTTCGGCTTAACTATAATGTCTGTATCATTATGTTTATTAAGTATATTCTGTATACCTGTAGAAATATTCCAATTGGATAGAGATATTCAACTGACAGAAATCAATTCAACATTAATTCTATCAATTGACAGTTATGTATCTAAATTGTTAAGTCTAATTTTAGGTATATGTTTGTTAACAGCTGGTATCATCTACTCAATTCCTGTAATTATACATGACCAATTCCTATCAAACAATGCATTTTCTTACAAAAACTGTTTATTCCAGTTTGCTGATTATCTTATCGGGTTTTCTTTTTTAATTTTATCCTTAATTCGTGATTGTAATTTTAATTATTGGCATATTAAAGGATGTGAATTTTGGTTGGAAATACGTGTACTGCTAGAGAATATTACCATTCTCTTAGGTATTTTTGTAATAAACAATTTGCTTATCAACGATAGTGTAAGTACCCCAAATGAGAATTGTTTAAAGAAATTGAGAGTGAATAGTAAATCACTAAAAAGTCAATAGGTTTATGTAAATAAAAGAATTTTTCAGTCTGTTACTTTAATTTCTACTTCATTTTTTGTTCTATTAAGAGATGTTTCTTTGTTTGTATTTAACTGGTGAATTCCTCGTACATCGTTTATTGTAATAGAAAATGCGAACAATAATCTTTTGTACAGTATGGAACCAACTCGTCTAAATTTCCTTGCTCACATCTCAGCTACAAAAACGTTAGTGCGTCGTTAATTTAAAGTTTTAATAAATCTCAATTCAATATGATAAATTATCCATCAGAGAAAATTGAATCCGTTTAAACAGTGAAATTACAACAGTTTGAAGAGAATGGTTTTGGTAAATAATTGACATGATAATAACAGAATATTAGAGATTATTGTATTACTTAATAGGTAAAAATCTTTTGTTGGGTCAAAACTTAGCTTCAGCGATCAATAATTCTAAACGGTTAACCTATAACCGTCTTATCAGTAGAAATGAACCATGTGAACAACATTCCTGTTATTACGGAGTCTTTTATCGTTCCGTATTTGTATAAATTCTGTCATACTGCGTAAAAATAAAGTGAACTCCAATACTCTGGTCACCGCATAAATTGTTCATGAAAGCTTTAAACTTTATTGAAAATGATTTGCATTTCCGCTTTCTAAATAAACAATGAATTATCATTACGACTGCATCTGTTTGTAATATGCTACATGAATAATGAAACGTCAAATATATTGTTCGAGAACTTATGTTCAATGTATATTGTTAATTGAATCGACGAAGAAGGAAATATGACTAAGAACTCATGTATGGGGGAAAAGGGTATTAGAAGACACTTGCTGTTACCCCTAACTTCTGTCTCTTTAACAAAATGAATAAAGTTGAGAGATCGCAAATGAACGTATTTTCGTTCAGTGGTTTTAGAAGTGTTATGCTAGTCATAAGGTTCAGTTCGATTTGGGGTCTTGTATGAGTGCCACGACTAAACACAATTGCCTAAATAAACTGGATTTAGATTATACAACCATTATATCAGTCTGTAATTAGAATTTATATATTGGCAAATCAATTTGATCTCTATCGAGATCATTTAGTCATTACGTATGTTTATGATTAATTGAAAAGATTCGTGACTCAATGTGAAACATTTGGGAAAATACTCATCTCACTACATAAAACTGAATTTCTTATCAATGATCTGAAGTTCTGTGAGCTGATTGTCGAATGTTTGGTTGCAAAAAAAGAATGTTGATCGATAGATAATATGCAATGACACGATCTATGTCGCCGAGTGATGGCTATTTACCAGACTAAATTATCGACTTGAACCTCCAATTTGACTACTATTAAAAGACAAAGCAGTTGCCCAACTAAGTAAAATGAGATGCTAATATACAAAATTTCGAACACAAGAATAATTGTTGTTAGAGGCCATTCATCATTTAACAATCGAAAACCTATAAAGGTTGTTTGCTATCATATGGAATTAATCCTTAGTTGTTGTCCTATCAAAATTCAGTTTGCCATCACTTTGAGAGAACGCTTTAGACTAAAATATTAAAAGTTGGACTCGGAAGTTTAAAAATTATCCGTTAATTTACAGATTGAACGTGTTCATTCTTATATACAGGCCAGTAGGATTATCCAGACCTAATTTTTAGACAAGTTATGTTTAAATACTATATACGGCAAGCGGTTGAACATATTGATTTCAATTAAAATCAGTGGACTGAAGCGTAATGCACTATTTGAATATTTTAAAGTTATTTGGTAGATAAATACTAGTCATTCTGAAGCCAACTTTTATCCATTTTGAGTGATCAATGAGTAGCAGATAATGTTTGACTAGTCCTTAATGTCGAGTGGTAACGTCCCAGACTGCTTAACTTTATGATTTCAGTTCAAAATCACCGAGGTGCATCCACTCCCTCTAGGTTATAGAAACGTTTTGCCGACGAGTATCAACTAACACAATCTTGGTTGAGGGTTTTTTGTCTAATACCTCCGACCATCAAACATTAGATTCCTATCCATCGAATGGCTTTCGTAGATTAACTAATAGACATTTCTAAAGTTCGAACAAAAATCTCAATGGGAGTGTGATTTCATAAATAACAAGAAAGATGTATTCATAGATCAATGTCCTCTTTTTTGCTTGTTAGTTCTTTTTTTCAAACTGTGTACTAATGTTATCAAATTTAGAACACTGAAAAGTCACACTTCATCAAGAAGAATGACTTTAGATAAAAATAGTTATTTCTAAAACAACAATATACGCGGAGATAGTGGCTAACATTGATGCAAACAGTTCACTGTAAGCAATAACCTGTTCACCATTAGAAAGCTTATAGGATGTTCATGTACTTTTTTATAGAAGGTTTCGACGATATACTGGTATAAAAAAACTGCTGGTCGCAGTCTTTGGATCAAGTAATACAAGCACATTCAGGCGTCCACTGTTATACATGAATTCTGAAACTTAAAGGGTGGATATTTATTTCATACATTCATCTTGAAGACCATAAACAATCTAGCTGTCCCGGAGTTCCAGTTAAACATAGGGTGATCTTCAGTCCTAATATCTCACATGCAATATTAGTCAGACTAATTCCTCTCCTTCCTGATAAACTGGGACAACTAAGATTTATTCCCAACCCTTAAAGTAGCTAATATCTCAGTAAATCAAACTTTCAAAGCTGGACCACTGCCCCTGCAGACCTACGTAAAGTATCCATCGAGATTTACTGCCCGAACTCGTTTAGTTGCTTATAGCTTCTTCAATTTAGCTGAAAGTTAGAGGCCTAACCTTAATTCAATTGGCTTCCGAAAGAGTACTGTAAATGATGCCAGACTGTCTTGGGATCCATGCCTGTGCCTAGTTAGTTCATTCTCTTCAATATCCTTAAAGTTCGTGCTGACCTTTAAGCCTTTCAGTTGAGACTTCTGTATTAACGAAGGCACGTACGAACACGTGCTCCAGAAAAAGCGAAAATTCATATAAAACCAATGTAATTATGATTGATAGCGATGTAGCATATTTGTAGCAACGGTTAAGTTGATTTAGGAGATTCTGAGGTTAGATATTGCCTTTTATGTTCAAGGTTAATAATGTTAGAAAAAACTGTCAAGTGAACGAACCTGCAACAAACAGTAAGCGTTATATCTTCTAACTTGAAATCCTAAGTTATCTTCCCACTGACAGTCGATATTATATATTATATGAAGTTATTACAATTTTTAAAGATGAAATATTAAGTTACTTCACTTTAAAGTTTCGACAACAAAAAAACAAATTTGTATTTGTAAGTTAAATTAGAAATTGAAAAAAAATTAGTGAGGGTTCACTAGAAATAGTAAGTTAGCCGAATTCGAGAAAATACGTGATTAATGTGATCATATGGTCTAAACAGTTCTCGTCTCCGGTTTCTTGTGTTTATACTGATTGAAATAGATTAGCATTTTCTTAATCTCTCCAATAGCCAAACCAGGATTCAATCCCTAAAAAAGTTTACATGAAACGTATACGAATATAAATTAACATATATTTACAAACAGCCTAGGAGCATTAGTATCAGAAGGAAGTTATGTGGTTAGTCATATTTTTAAGATTAACGTTTACTGTAAAATAAGTGTAGTGACTACGAAACAAGCTACCAGACAGCACACATACGTACGTACAAACTGATAATACGTATCTATGAATGTATAAGAAACATATACAACTTATTGGTCACAACCTGCAAAGTCAGTGAGTTTCAGTTACCAGTCATGATCCTTGTTATTTTAAATGTCATGGTCTTCAGTGTACGTATCAAGAATCGATTGCCGAAATTTTGTTTTTCGACTCGCAGTGTCCTCACAAGCTAGTTGATCATGTCAAGACATACGGAACTTGTCCTTCATATGCTAATATCGCTATCCCCGTAGCGATATAGTGTGTCAGTCTTGTTACTGACAGACGCTATTGACGTACACGGATCATACTGTACTATTCGTGACACTGCATCTCCAGCGATCGCTTACCGCTTTAAGTATAGCTAACCTAAAAGATACTAGCGTCAAAATTTGCCGAGTGATATATGAACGAACAATTGCAAGCTAATAATACATTATTGCCTAAGTGAATTGGCTCCAAAATGACAATGAAGACTTTAATAAAAGTCATCTGAGTAAAAAGATCGAAATACTACAAAGTTATTTTCGAAATTGTATAAATCAATTGTCTGATATAAGGTGAAGGAAAAGTAAGATTTTGCTAATATCGTCGTTCTTGGGGAAGGATCTTTTACTATCGATTACAAAAAACATAATAAGTTACTCACGGCTGAATTAATCTGTTGTTGAACATTAGTTCAAGTATTATAAAACATGCACACAACATGAAATTGCAACGTCAACATTATAAAATTGTGAATATGAGGAGCGATGATATGTGAAATCAGTCTTCACAAAAACGTAACCGTTTTAAGAAAACGTTCAGCCACTTTTTAAAGTGGAACTGGATGTAAATGTTTGATATGTTTGAATCAATTCGCTTACTTTTGGGCATGTTTCTGTGCAATTCATAATAGTATGACATCGATAAAGTGACCACTTGTTTTGGAACTCAGCCAAACGTTCATACGTATAATCATCACGTGAATCGACTAACCATCTGTAAGAGATATATCAAAAATGCACTACAGTTTCGAATGGATAATTTTTGGTACATAACTAAGTTAAGTAATGAGCTTATTTTGCAAAACGATAACAATCTTACCGAGAAGAAAGGACAATTCGACAAACTAACCAGAACTATACATGTTTATTAAATGCAGTTGTTAAGTGCGATGTGAGGATTACGGATTATTTTACGTAGAATCAACATTTATAACATGGCTAAATTTAAATCCTAGCAAAGCGAGCGAATCGCTTTGCTTGTTAATCTATGAGAATATACACAAAAAGACCGACCGTTGCTGCTACCTTGACGTGGTGGTCGGGCTTGCCTATCGTGATGATCCAATCGAGCTATGCTGGCTGGAACAATCGTTCCTCAAGGTCCTACCATGCCACACAGGTCGGTTGAAGAGCGGTGAGACTAAAAGCAGCAATCCCAAGGCCCGAAGGCGAAGTCGTACTGCTGACTGTACAGAGGTGTGAAAGCAGTAAGGTGTTTCCTTCAGACAACCAGCATGACAGCGATGCTGCCTTCCCACAAGGAGGGGTGGGGTTAGAAAAGGTCGACCCTAAAAATGCACACCTCGTCTTATCCCACGGATTTCCGTCTCCGGCGGTAAGGACTTTTGAAGAACGGAGCTAACACGTCAAAAATCCTCCACAAAAAGGTCGTGCGTGACCGGCCTCAAGCAGTTGTCCCTTGGGCACTGCGGTCACGCTCTCAGGTCGTTAAGACCAACACTAAACCAACTTCTTTTTCAGGTCCCTCAAGAAATACCCTTCCACGGTGTGGGCAGCCGGGAAGTGATACTAGCCCTCATACCCTTAAATGCACACGAGACCAAGTTCGTCGCTTTCAAATCCTTCCTACATCTAATAACTCTGTTATCTCCACGACTAACCCTTCCCACGTCCTTTTATCACCTCGCACCGCTAGGGCAAACGATTCGAGTACACAAAACGTTATTCCTGGTCTCCTGAAACCACGCTCTAAACTACATGTAGGAGCTTTTAATGTCCGAACATTGTGCCAAATAGGACAACAGGCTTCCTTAGCTAGGACTCTAGAATCTTACACCATCGATGTGTGCTGCGTCTCCGAAACGCGCATACAAGATCCGAGTAGTGTCATTCATTTGACCGCACCTAATCAAAATAAAGTTTCATCTCGATACACGCTTCGTGTATCTGGAAGCCCTGGTGCTGCTTCCCGTGGCCTCGCTGGCGTAGGTATAGCATTAAGTCCTAGGGCAGAACTAGCTCTTTTAGACTGGATCCCAGTAGACAGTCGTCTATGCGCTGTCCGACTAAACGGATCAGTAAGGACCCGGAAAGATAGGGAAACTCGTCGTTGCCTCTTCGTCGTCTCTGCCTACTCTCCCACTGACTGCAGCTCAGACGATATAAAAGATGAGTTCTACAGGAAACTTTCTGACCTTCTCCGAGAAGCTAGGCGTTCTGATGTAGTAATAGTAGCAGGTGACTTTAATGCTCAAGTAGGTAAACTAAGTGAAAGGGAAAGACACCTGGGTGGATCTTATGGTGTCATGGCGAAAAGAACAGATAATGGCGACCGTCTGTTGCAGCTATGCTCAGATAACCGCCTATTTCTTGCAAATACTAACTTTAAGCATAAGGAAAAACATCTTTTGACATGGCGACCCCGAATTCGTCCCAACGTTGGACCCAATTAGATCACATCGCTATCAGCCACCGATGGAGGGGCTCGATAGAAGACTGTCGCTCATTCTGGGGCACATGTTTAGATTCAGATCATGTTCTAGTGTGAGCACGTATCTGTCTGCGTCTTACTGATAGTAGGAAAGACACTACAGGGAAGCCTCTAAGGGTTCTACTTAATGATAAGCAAGCTAAGAATATATTTCAGGAACAAATAGAAAAACAGTTAGGCAGCCATGTAAGTTGTGTCCACCCCGAGGCAGCGTGGAATGACATCCGAAAAGCTGTGGAAACAGCAGTGATATCCGCTAGTAAGGTAAACCATAACGTTAGGGAGAAACAATGGATCTCAGCAGCATCTACCGCACTGATAGATGCTCGTAAATTCATCCCACCTGGCTCTGAACATAACGAAGAGCGGAGTCAACTTAAGCGCAGGCTTATAAGAAACCTACGTAATGATCGTGAACAGTGGTGGGTAGCGAAAGCAAGAGAGATGGAAAAGGCAGTGGCAATAGGTAACAGTAGGCAGCTATTCAGACTCGTTAAAGAAACCGGTATTAGGAACCCGAATATCAGTGAAACCATCTCAGATAAAGATGGGCATTTCATTCATTCTCAATCCAGATTGGATCGATGGGCAGAACACTTTGGAGATCAGTTCAACTGGCCTTCAGACACACTTCAATTACCCACGATCCCCAGTCGTCCTGAATGGCAAATTGAGGTAAGTCCTCCAATCCTCTGTGAGGTTGAAAAAGCTATAGGAAATCTGAAGAGAGGGAGAGCAGCAGACCCTGACAGGTTGACCCCTGAGATTTTTAAGGATGGTGGTCCAGTACTAGCAGTGAGATTGACTGAGGTCTTAGGTAGAATCTGGGAACTGGACGTAATTCCATCTGACTGGTCCCAATCACTGATTGTGCCAGTCTATAAGAAAAGACAAAAGTCCTCTTGTGACAATCACAGAGGGATCAGTTTGACTAATATAGTGTCTAAAATATTAGCTTCAATAATATTTCGACGCCTAACCAAAGCTCGTGAAGAGCAGACTAGAGAAAACCAGGCTGGATTTCGACCTGGACGTGGTTGCATAGACCAGATATTCACCCTACGTCAGGTTCTAGAACATAGACACAAATTCAGACGTCCCACAATAGTAGTATTTCTCGATCTTAAGGCGGCATTTGACTCCGTTGATCGTGAGGTTCTATGGCAGTGTTTGTCACTGAAAGGAGTACCAAAGAAGTACATTAACCTCATAAAGGCTCTCTGCTCGAACACAACTAGTCGAGTTAGAGCCTATGGCGAACTGTCATCAGAACTGATTACCACAAGTGGCGTTCGTCAGAGCTGTCCACTCTCCCCATTCTTGTTTAACTTTGTCATTGACATACTTTTAGAGATAGCACTTTCATCAGCTAAACCTCCAGGAGTTGAACTTTTACCAGGAGGCTCACTTGTTGACTTAGAATACGCCGACGACATAGTTTTACTCGGTGAAGACGCTGACAACATGCAGTCTTCTGACCACTATAAGCAACTATGCAGGCATGTTCGGAATGCGATTCTCTCCCTCGAAGTGCAAAATGTTACTTCAGGATTGGGTTGCAGCGACACCTGATTTAATGATAGGGAGTGAAGTAGTTGAGCGTGTAGACCACTTCACTTATCTTGGGAGTCTCATCAGCCCTTGTGGTTTGGTATGTGACGAAATCTCAGCACAGATACAGAAGGCTCGTCTAGCTTTCGCCAACTTGCGTCATTTATGGCGTAGGCGAGTTATCCGTCTAGCAACCAAAAGACGGGTTTACTGTGCAGCAGTTCGCTCCGTCCTACTTTATGGCAGCAAAACATGGCCGATAAGAGTAGAGGATATTCGTAGGCTACTAGTGTTCGATCATAGGTGTCTTCGAAGCATTGCTCGTATATCCTGGGACCACCGGGTAAGTAATGCAGTTGTTAGGAAACGAGTACTAAGTAGGGATGGCAAATCGATTGATGAAGTAGTGAAACTTCATCAGTTGAGATGGCTGGGACATGTGTTACGTATGCCCGACCACCGACTGCCCCGACGTGCAATGTTTCATGGTGTAGGAGTAGGTTGGAAGAAAGCTAGGGGTGGCCAGACCAAAACGTGGCACAAATCAATGAAGTCACTGACAAGTGGACTGGGCCATGTTGGTAGGTGTAGACTACCTGGTTGGGATTCGCGAGATGACAGCAACCGATGGTTAGAGACCTTGAATGACATGGCTCAAAATCGTTTGCAATGGCGAAGATGCATCCACTCTTTGTGTTCTACCAAATTCTAATCTTCTGAATTCCTCATGTCTTTATATTTTTCTCTTTCCATATTTATTTCACTGTACTATACTCCTTCAATAATTTCTTCAAACCCTAATCTTTTGGATTTCTGATTATACTCCTACTACTTCTACCACTATGGGATTTGAATCGACAACTGCATCTCTGTGCTAATGTGGTATGGCAACTCGAACTGATGTACGTACGTACGAAGTTCTACGTTGTGACTGACTGACACAAAAAGAAACAACAAGCAGTAGTAATATTAAAATAAGTTACTTTTAATTGAACTGTTTTCGCACTGAGAATCCGAAAGACAACTGGCGCAAGAATTTATTTCTGTTATTTACGTTTCCAACCAGGTAATTTAGACTGACTTCTCTTAGTAATTCAAACTTATAAGTAGGACATCCAACCAATTCTCTTTTGAAAGTTATTTAGTAGTAACCAGGACTTATCACAAACGTGTTGTAACATCGACTACACAAAACGAAGTAAAATATTATCTTTCTTTTAAAGTGAAATCTTACCTAGAAATATAGGTAACTCCATTCACGAAACACCATTTAATGAATAAATTTGTACAATCTTAGGTATTCATTTAATACTTACCTGTAAGCCTGAAGCAGAACAGCGGGACCCAAATACTTATCACCATTCCACCAATAAGATGGACATGAAGTAGAACAACAAGCACACAGAATGCATTCATAAAGCCCATCTAGCTTTGCTCTGTCTTCTACTGACTGATAATAAGTCTTCTTTCCAATATCTTCTTCATCCACATTCTTTTTCTTTAAATAAGGCTCAATAAAACGGTACTGAGCATAAAAATTATTCATATCTGGAATTAGATCCTTAATTACATACATATGAGGCAATGGATATATTTTAGTTGTCTTGTTGATATCTGGATCTATCTCCCTAAAAAAGCAAAACAAATGCACAAGAAGTATTGGTAATGATACATTAATTACATGGACTTCAATACTAAAAATATGAAGGGAAACAATTCAGATGAGTAGCATACCATATACAGGCAAGGTGATTACGACCCTCTATATTCATTGCACAAGAACCACATATCCCCTCACGGCAAGAACGTCGAAATGTCAGGGTAGGATCTTGTTCATTCTTTATCTTGATTAAAGCATCCAAGACCATAGGTCCACAATCATTAAGATCGACTTGATAGTTTTGCATGGTGGGTTTTTCGCCACGTTTATCGGGGTTCTGTGTGAAAAAAGAAATGTTAATAAGTACTTAAGAAAGCATCCATGAAACTTTTGTTGTAAAAGCATAAGATCAAACTCTGAATACGTTAGACACATATCGTGATTCTCCGATTCACAAGGACAAGTTGTGTTAAATACTCACTCTCACTCACGTAGCTTCTCAAACATTCCACATCGATGCTGACATTGTCAGCCCCCAAATACGGTCGAGAGTGGGGAGAGTCACCTCTCCCTCTCCAAATGCTCTCACATGGCCACGCGAATATATAGCCTCTGTCAGGGAAGTCCTACTCACTACCTTCTCGTGGCGGGGGTGTTGCTTACGAGAGTGAGAGGACGAAAAGCGAATGTCCGGCGCTATAACCGGGTTGGTGGATGTGGAGGATCCACCTAGGGGAGTTGGAAAACCTTGATTCCAAAACCAATGGTGCACATGGGCCCCAGTATCCTGATGGAACGAATGGCGAATGAACCTGTTGTTGGTCAACGGCTACCATAGGACTGCATCTCCTCACGATGCCGCACTGCCTTGTGGATCAGACATTCAGGTCAAAGGCTCCGGGTGTGGCCCCTAAGAAAACCACCTGCTTCAGTCTGGGCACCTGGGCAGTATCACAGCCCCCACACAAACCGAATGAGATTTGTGAGGCACATATTTATCTGGTGCTTCCTTGTACCAATATTTGTGTTTAAATAAATAAATAAAATAAAACTATGTTTCTTTACGAGGGGTGACAGGCGTAAGTAAGCTGTATCCAGGACACCAGATAAATGATACAAAATAGAAACCTTTGTCAAAGTTCTGGTGTTAAATTATGTCATGAAACGAAATAAATATTGGAAGAAAACGAAGTTATCAGACCTCAGATGCTACATATCCCAACAAAAGCAAGAACAGTTGTAATGGTGGAAAGTTTCATTTTAACCCCTCCTAATCCGAAACATAATAATCTACTGAAACAACAAAACTTACCCATCTGTAAATGGAAAAGGTTTTCATACGTGGAGCTGATCCCGTCGCAGTTGAAGCGCAACGAACCTGAGGTTCAAAGAAGATGAAAAAAAACACTATATAGAACCTAGAAGATATGGGAAGACTTATAACAGCCATGACTATTGAGATCAAGAGGATCACTGTTAAACATTAGTAATGCATTGGAACAAAAACTATGCACGCATAGGAGTTTTTTGAAAGTGTGCACGTACATAGGGGCTTCTACAAAAATTGGATTTAGATATAGTATGGTCACGGCACCCAAAAACTTAAAATGTACGAGTACAAAAATCATTGTGTCGAATTGACGAAATTAATTTTCTAAAATTAGTCCCTTGGTTTTGTACCTAAGTAAAGATTTACAAAGGATCAGTTGTGACCCACAGGCTCTGAAAGACCAAAACAGTACAGGGACTTCATGTAATGTGCTTGGACTAAGTTGCTAGAAAAAAACTACGGAAGATGATTAGGCAAAATGTGACTAAAATAACACAACTTTTTAACAGAACTGTATTCTATACCAAACACATTTAATAGACATTTTGATCAACAAATAGACCAGGTAGGTTTGTTTAGCTGATGTAGACTCATGCACAATCATTCGTATTAATCAATCAACTTTCCTTCAACACTGAAAAGCATGAATCTTTCAGCTTTGGGGTGTGTGAGAAAATATGCTGCAAAAAGTAAGCACATTGTTTTAGGCTACATTTTCGTCTTACTACTAAATGTTTAAACCAGAGTATGAAGACAGTGGTGCGAAACAACCGAGTTTCGCACATAGGTCGATATTAGAATATCAACTGGAAATGCAACAGAAAGTGTAGATAACTAACAGTAGACTTTTCCTACATATATATAGTGTTACCATGAATTCTTATCACAGTTCGTATAACTAACTTACGAGACTGAAAGACGATAGTGAAAAAGTCAGGGACTTCCACATAATGAATTTCAATAAGCAGTGATTTCTTTGAGCTCTAAAAACACGAGGACTTCAAGCAGAATATATGGGAAATATGCAGCCTAAAACTCGGAACACAAGAAACGAAGCACAATAATACAGCTGCCAAGGTCAATGACTGGTGTATTCCGCGTCATTCAGTTAACAATATTGTAACGGAGTTGAAATTGCTATGTATGATATACTAATGCATTCTATTTTCTTTCTATTGCAGGACGACCAAACATAAACTCTTTAGAGGAAGAAGAGCAAGCCCTATGTACACTAAGCTTACAGGATGACTCATAAGACTATGTTAACTGACTCTTCCCGCTGTACTCTCGCGCACCGCGCTTTTTGATTTTGAAATAAAGAGACTCGTGATTCCCACTGTGTTCTCTCTTGGTGTGAAGTCCTCGTTTAACATTGTGTGCCGTGCTGTTTTTCAGATCTGTACTGCTGTCCTCTAACTGCTGATTCCACGTGTTACAATATCTTTGTCACGAGCTAGTATAAACCGATTAATTTCTTTGCTCTCGCTTCCTGCTGTTTATATATTGTTCTGCGTATTTATTAGTGTCCAAATTGCTAGTCAATCGATCTAATTATGGTCAGTTTGGTAGCTGTTTGTGGATTTGCATACCGTGTTGTTTGTCTTAGGGTGGTAGGAACCATTGATACTAGCATCTATTACATTACTAGGCAGATGTTTGGTTGGTTAAAGTGTGGAAATAATGGGAAGATGACTCCGTTGCCAAGAGAAGACGATTATTTCAAGGGTAAATAATTAAGTTTACTTTAGATGGAGAAAATGGTTCTGGGCGGAAGAGAAGCTTTTGCTTAATAGACTTCCATATCTATTGACAGTGGATCACCGATGCCTTCAGATAGAAATCTAAGTGTGCTTGATGATAAAAAGTAAAGCATCGTCAAATTATGTCGACATAATGTCCTGAGTCCTTGATAATATGTCACGTTTTCTCTTAAAGGATTCCTAAGAAGTCGGTCGGACAACCACAGCAGACAATGAATCCCACTACACGCGAAAAGTAAAAAGTGTACCCACAATCCATTCTGCCATGCCGTGTTTCCAATCCCTGGGTGTTAGCCTTAAGTTAGCTTAAGACATTCAATAATAGCGTACCAAGACTCCCAAATCTTTGTCAACGTGGTATGGCTCTAGAGGGGAGCTACCAACGTTATGCGTATAGTATGCAACATGCCTCAGATGGACTACTGTACGTCTTGAAGTGTCGAGAGAATGTCCTTCGTTATTCACGCAACTTCAAAGTTGGACCGAATCCTCATGAAATGCCAGCTTATCATTTCGGTAGCAAACGTCTCTCTGAAGGTTTACGTAGTCAGTGGAAAGTAACAAATCGGAAGATACTTGTTGATGGGGTAATTTGTACAAATTAAGAAAAACAGAGATCCAAGTACTGAGCCCCGAGGGACCTCACCAGGACACTCTGTAGCATGAGAGGGCATGAAGTTTACTCTGACCCTAAGTGTCGACTATTTAGATCTGAAGTAAACCAGTCTGTTGACGGTGACTAGATACCTAACCTTTTCAGCTTATCGACAGAACAAAAGCTCTTGAGAAGTCAATGTATTTAACATCAACCTTCCCTTTGAGATAAAGGATGGCTACCAATCTGCCCACTGCAACCAGCAGGTTGGTTGTGCAAGAGTGCAACCTCCTGAAAACATGTTGATGAGGCTAAAAGAAGTTTATGGATGGTAAGTAGTCACGTAGATCATTGCATATTAAGTGCTACATACTTTTTGAGGGTACCAAGAGAGGTGCTACAGGTCTATAACCTGCAGGTTCTCTGCGTCAACCTCTTTTGAAAATCGATGTAGTGTGAGCCAGCTTCCAACTATCTGGCACCGTGTGTGCTATCAAGATTGAGGCGGTCCCTCTTAGTGCAGAAGAAAGAACTATATCAGGGTCAAGATAGGTGTCGCTGCTTAGACAAATCAATTTCTGACACACCAAGTCAGAGATCAGGTTCATTCCTGAGGCTCCTGTTGAGTTGAAGGTGAAGCTATCGTCGATATTATTTGTATATAGAGGTTGAAATGTTTTAAGATACTGCCCTGCTAGAAGCTCAAAATCATCAATGTCGTTGTTAGTCAGGCCACCAGGACCTAACGACTGCAATATTTTGGATTCGGCTTGTTGATTAGAAAATGCATGATGGACTAAGTATCGGAGACACATTTAATGACTAACTTGACCTGATACTGAAGCCTGTTTTTTCATATCGCCTCTAAGAGTTAGTTTCTCGCCTGTTTGAACTGCATATACGTGCTGTTGTTATTAGCTCGTTTGTATTCCAACCAGTGGTAGATTTTGAGTTTTAGCATTCGAAGATTGTAATTCTTTATAATAATAATAATAATAATAATTTATTCTTAAATAACAGATTGTTACATGAGGCATGCCGGTTTACAGGCAAGATCAAATTATAGAGAAGTTACAATTTTCACTGTTGAAAATTACTCAGATGGGTTGATATTTCATAAGATATAAATGTAAATGGATTTCATAAGAAACATGTCAATATCACACTTGGCGCACTTTATGGAGGTAGCGTTGCAACATACAACTGATGGTCGAGAATAGATACATGCGAAGTTGGGGGCTTTTAGAAGTTTTGAACTTATATCCCTACAGAATATCGGAAGCATTAATAACGGTGTAGGACGAAGTCACTCGTGCCATATCTGTTTTCGGTGGAGTATCTGCAGGAGGCTGAAAAAGGTGTAAGAAAAAGGAAGGACGAAAAGCAGAGCACACAATATTTATGGAGGAATAGTTAAGGTATAACCATTTAGTTTATTTGTCTGTTACTGAAGTATTTATTAGGTAAGAACATACTAATGTGTTAAAGAAAAATAAGTGTGGGAAAGGTATGAGCGGATAAGGAACTGTATAAATGAAGGTAGTTCAGAAGGAAGTATGGAATTGTGTAATTACAAAATAAAGTACTGAAAACAGCATTCCGATACAAATGACTGTCTCTCTTTACTTTAGAAGCTGTTTGAACTCTCTGTTTTTGTTTTTAGATTTTATAGGGTATAGAGTGGGCTTCGTTTTTAGTCAATTGTCTAGTTTGCTTTATGACTGTACGTTGCTTGTAACTTTTGAAGACCGTTTATGGGACAGGCTAGTTCATGGTACGTGAGATCGTGCACAGCGTTCGCCTGAAGTTGAGGCTGAACTTTACCGGTTCGACCATTGTAGATTGACCGGGTAGTCTGACACGTCCAAGCGTTTGAAATTCAAACACTTGCTGTTTGTAAGGTGCTTCAACTCAGATTTTCTGACAAGATTGAAAGCTATGGTAGTGTGATTGCTCTTTCCCAAGAGAGCCAGTATTGAGAGGTTTGCCAAATAAGTATTTTCCGTTTTTGGAGACGCAGTCTAAGGACGACGACGTCCGGCCGTTTCTCTACAGAGGGCTAACTCCACTTCTTTGAATAATCACAAATCTCCGATGAGGTTGAGAAAAACAAGCTGCAATAGAGTTATCACCTCCAATATACGTGTGTTCAGTGAAGTTAGCTTTAGGAAGGTTGAAGTTTCCTAAAATCGAGAATTGAATGAGCCTAAGACGAATAGAGTCGGATAATGCTTCCAGAATACGATTATCGTGCTCGGTGGCAGCACTAGCCTTCCTGTAGATGGCCGGAACCAGATATCTCAAGGTGTCAGAAAATCTCACTGAGCATTATGCGGATTTATCAAAATTGACAAACTCGGATGTACACATGATGCACTACCGAGCAAGATTGTAAGTACGGGGCGGCTTCGTCTCTCATTTCTGTTTTCCTGTCGTTGCAGAATAAAGACACTCCGGATATTGCCAGCTTCTGTTAGTAATTTCAAAAGTTGCTCATGTTCCAGATATCTTTAACTAATGTGTAATACTTACATTACTTTGTAGTGGCGTTGGACCCGAAACACACGACTTTTGAAGCCGAGCATAAAATTACTGGAACGACTTATATTTAACAATTGACACGAAGAGAAGGCCGACTATGGAGTACGTGGGAAAATTAATTCAATAAATTGGTGGCATGGTGTTATATCTCGTGGCCGAGTGGATGCCTAGTTAATGTGGGACGTGATAAGACCGCCAATTAGAGAGCAGCAATTTATCGATTGGAACAGTGACACACGAAAACCGTAAGAGCAGTCTACAGTGCTTATCGATCCTGCTTCTGTCTAGCCAAGCCACACACAAACGATAACTGCTTTGTAGATAGGTTTTCCACACTTTGCTTAAGCATACTTGATTCAGGTGTGTTGTTGCTTTTCTCTCAGCTCCCATAAATACACAGGAGGAGAGTGTTGCGCAAGCACATCGTATGTAATTCTGTTCGATTTCCCATTATATTGTGTCATTTATGTATCTTTTATATGAATGCAGAATTACGTTATAATTTCAGAAGTAGTATTCCTTACTATAAGATTGTTTCGATAATGTAATAAGAAGACGAAGATTATCATCAGAACTATGTGATAGTGCAATATTAGTGCAATACATTTCGAACAATCTGATCACACATAATATACTTGTTAAGAACATTTATATATATAAAAAGTAGAAGGTCAACTAGACTGGAAATAAGTGGTGGTGGGGGTAAAAGTAGACAAGGATAATAATGATAAAAATAATGTGAAAACAATTTGACACCTAGTCACTCTGGATAATAAGCATATATTACCAGGATAGGTTTAAGGAGAGAACAAACTGGTAAATGCAGTTAGATGAGACAATCGTTTTCATGTCGTCTAGGTTTTGAATGAAGCATGGACCTCGTTCTTTCTTTGATTATGACCTTCACTGAACAATACGTTTTGTTGATGACAGACAGAATTAAGCCTTTGTTTCAATGAAAGGCTATTTGAATCACCTCTAAATGGTAAGGTGATGTAGACAGGCTTTTTCTCTACCAAGGCTACAGTAGGTCTCACTGTGTCCTGAAATTTCCATCTATTGATAAATTTACGAGGACAACCATTCCCGATTAATGTCTTGGTGTAAAGCTAAACTGGTGGATATAGCACACCAATTTCATAATGTTGGACCAAAGCAGAGAAGCATGTTAACTTCTCAACATTTTAAATCACTAAAAGAACTACGAACAAACACTGATATTGTCTTGTTGAAGCCTGATAAAGGATCAGGCGTGGTTATCATGAACAAGTGTGAATATAATGTTATATAATGTTATCCATCCTCAGTGATGAAAGTAAATTCATGCTTGATGTTCAATTGGGAGGTATTAACAAACTCATAGGTAAGAGTAAATTCAAACCTGGAAAAAATTGTTACACATGAATATTATTGATAAAGAGGAATTTAATTTGTTAAAACCTATGGGTTCTGAGTG